CTTCCTGCTCATCTTCAAACCAAAGCAAGAGCACTACCATGATTGTGGCACGCAGTCTTCCACGAGCATCGGGCGGTTCTGGTCACTTTGTCACCTACAGGGGAGGGGAGGGTAGCTGGCTGTGCGCGAGGAGTGTGGAGCCCTCGGAGGCTTGGCGGCCATCACTTACTCGGTTTTGCTCTGGCAGATTGCTGATCTCCTTCGCAAATGACCGTGACGCCTACGTGTGGATTGGGTATCTCTATTCAATCCTTTTCTTCGTTGTGGCCCTCCTCCAGTCTTTCTGCCTTCAGTACTACTTTCAATTGTGCTTCACGCTGGGCGTAAATGTACGGACAACCATCATGGCCTCCGTATATAAAAAGGTAAGCGGACTGTGTTGGGCATCACCAAAGAAAGCCCCCTTAGTAAACGTGAGCACTTACTAGTATTCCAAGATGGAGGGAAATTTGGTGAAAATGATAACTGGCCTTAACTCTTGATTTTGGCTAGCTATACAGCCTTATTTAATGTTTCTTTGGAAATTAAAATATGAAATGTGTGTACATAGATATAGGTACCTGGGGAGGAGGGGGAGATGCAATCCAGGGGAAAATTGGCAAGCTGTTCTCTGCCCAGGACCTGCCTTTTCAGCCTTGCAAACCTCTTCTTCTTCCTACCTCTCCACAAGGTGAAAACGTCTTGGGAAAGAATTTAAAGTCAGAAAGAACAGGCCAAGGGCAGACTCTTAAAACCACCAACATTTAAATGCAATACAACATGAAACAGCATTCATAAGGCCTGGGCATCCATCTCAAATGGCAATTTTGCCATAGGCTAGAATGCTCTATGGACCAGGGCTTTATCCCTCTAAACTCACTTTTGCTTAGAGACTTCTTTTTCTAAATCTTTAGTGGCTGACTAACCCCTCCTCTGCCTGACTCTTTTTTTTTTTTTTTTTTAATGTGTTCGCTCTGCCTTCTGAGTTCTGCAGAGCTGGGAGCTTTTCCATCTCCTTATTATGGTTTTGCTCATCTTCCCTCTGATGTGCTGCTTTTAACGTTTTAACTGTATTTTTCTTATGTCCTACATACTAAGGTGAAGTCTCATTTTGTCCCTTAAAAATGAAAATAGAGTTCATTGTATCTCAATAAAGAAGAAAGAAATAAAAAGAAAGAAATGGAACTATAATAGTTATGAGCATTGGCTATAAGCCTAAGGAGAGAATTCATACATGAGGAGATAGGAATGTTTGTAGGCCAGAACATCAAACAGTGGCCTTTTCTTCCTGGTATTCTTTCACCACTAGAGAGCTCCATCATTGATTTTTCCATGGTAGTCCCTGGGTTTCCCCTTTGCTTTCCTCTCTTACGACACCAATGTCTCTTTTTATTCCCTTAGTAGATGTTGACTCATCAAGACACCCAGACAAGTAATCCAGATGTCTTTGGGTTAAAAGTCTGATCAAGTCCCTGGAATTCCCAGAAACCCTCACACTGGCATTTGCCTCCTCACAAATCAGTGTTTTAGTCACCTTATTCCCTCTGAAGATACTAGATTTCTGCTGGTTTGCAGGATAGAAGGTCACTAACTAGGCTGTCTCAGCCATTTCTACAAATGTACATTTTTACAATCGTGATCATTCATTCCCACTATTTTGATTCTTCATATATATTCCAGGTTTTTGCAACAGTTACAATCTAAAAGGAATTTATAAAATAGAGCTCTTAGTGAGACAAATAAATATTGCTAATAAAATAGAATTTAAAACAGACTAATTTCCTATGTTTAGCCAATGCTTCATTTATGAAATGTCAAGAGACATTTTTCACATTCATTATCAATCCATAGCCCTGTGAAATAATTGCATTATCCTTATTTTACAGAGAAATAAGGCTTAATGCTATGCAATGCCTATAGTCACATAGCCAAGACCTGGACTAAATCAATGACTTTTCCATTTCATTGAGATTTACTGAAAAAAGAAAAGTATAGTGATTATCTTGAAGGGTAATTAGATGTTACTTTTCTTTTCCATACCGAAGGGGAGGCATAGAAGTGGACTGATTTCTCTAGAACTTTAGAGTAGCTTAACATTTTAGGAAATTTCCCTCTTTTTACTATATAACCAAGAATCCTGGTATGTTCCTAAGAAGAATGTATTGGTGGATTAAGATGACAGTAGAATTTCTAGGAGAAATATTGGGGTGAAAATCTAGGGCCACTTGTAGCCCATACACTATCTTTGTGGGAATTAGAAGAAAGCTTTCCTTCTTCCAGGAAGATGGTGACCGGTGAGCAGAGTGCAAGCTGGTTTGAAAATCCACCTCTAACTCTAAAGTGCCAGGCATCCTTGTAAGTGACAGAACTATGGGGATCAGCCTTCTGATCTCTTTAACATGAGAACAAACAGGAGGCCCATACTAGAAGATTCAGGTATCTAGACATTGTCTGCAAATTTCTGACAAGAAACTAGTCATTTTTCTTCTATTGTGTGAACCCCACAACTTTCCTCCCCATTCTAAGATCTCTGTCCTTCTTTGGAATGGTTGCAACCTCCTCATTAGAGTATGGCTCCAAATGACATTGCCACATCAAAAGTCTGCAAGGCCAGAATCAATACATGCTGCCTCTCTTCACCCCTCCATTCAATCCATCTTTCAATATTTGATTCCCTACCCGGTGGCATGTGATACAGTAGTGAAATAGACAGATGTAGTCCTTGTCCTCACAGAATTTATATCTGGTGGGGAAATAGAAAAAACAAAACAATTATAGTTCAGGGTGATGAATAGAATGAAAGAGGTAAACACAAGATGTTATAAGAGTACACAGAGGGGTATCAAACCCAAGCTTGAAAGTCAGTGAAGTCTTCTCAGAATATGTTCTATCTAAGTTGACCCTAAAGAATAAATAGGAATTTTCTGAGCAAAAAAGTGTGGGGAGGTGTGGGTTTGGAGAAGGTGAGAATAACAGGAAAGCATAGTCAAGAAGAGAGAACACGGTGTGTGAAATTTGGAGGCAAGAAGGCACAGCCCCTTGAAAATGTTGTGTCTACATGAAGCCCATTCTTTTGCCGTGTTCTCACTTCCTGAGTTCCCCCTTTACTTCCCAGTATCCTTGGCTTTGTCCATGGATCCTAAGTCAATCTTTATCTTTAGGCACTGAACCTGTCCAACCGGGCGAGGAAGCTGTACACCGTTGGGGAAACAGTGAACCTGATGTCTGTGGATGCCCAGAAGCTCATGGACGTGACCAACTTCATCCACCTGCTGTGGTCAAATGTTCTACAGATTGTGTTATCCATCTACTTCCTATGGATAGAGCTGGGACCCTCAGTATTAGCGGGTGTTGGGGTGATGTTGCTTCTAATCCCAGTTAATGGGGTAATCGCCACCAAGAATAAGGCTATTCAGGTAAACAAGCAGAGCACCCTATGGATATATACACTTTATTCGAAGTCTAAAGTTTTTTGCTTATTTTATTCTAACTCTTGGTGGGAGTGCGGACAGAGCAAAGCTGATGGAAGACTTTCCACCATCCCAAATGAACTTGGTTTTGTCTATCTCCCCTTTTTATCTTCTAACCACTTTTAGGGTTTATATATGCTATCTTCCTTCATTGTTACAGGAACAAGCCTGATTGGATAGAGAAGAGCTGCCTAGAGACCCTGAACATAATTGTCTCTTCCACCATGCTCCACTGGCTCTTCTTAGAACAGTGGTTACTGGCCCTGTTTCTTCATCATAGCAATACACACCAACCACACAGAGCATTCACAGAGTGACTCAAACTTTAAGCCTAAATCCTAGCAACCAACCTGGCTAGCACTTGGTAGGCGGTCCTTAGTGCTGCCAGAAATCATAAGTGGAGTGTGTGGAGAGAATCATGTACATGATTTATTCATTCATTTTTCATTCATTTAGTTACAAATTATTTTGAGAATATTTATTGTACATATTGCTTTTCTGGGAACACAACAGCAAGTAGACAGGCTCTTGTTCTAGTAGAGTTTACATTCTTCTTGGGGTGGAGAGTCAAGCCATAAACAAACAAAAGCAAAGAAAAAAATATCAGGTCATGCCAAGTACTCTGCAGAGAATTGAATAGGGTGATGTGATAGCAAGTGAGTGGGCAGTTGTTTTAGATGACGGGGTCAGGAAAGGCCTCTGTGAGGAGCGGATATTTGAGCTGAGCTCTGAGCAACACAAGCCTGACCATGAAGGAGCAAGCCTTGAGAAAAATAACCTGGGACGAGAGAATAGTCAGGCCAATGCTTTGGGGGCAGACAGAAGCTCGGCACATTCAAGGATCAGAAAGAAGGTGGGTGTGGTGGGGCAGAGTGGGCAAAGAGTGGGAGAGACGCATTCCATCACTTGGCACCTCTAATTCTTGCCAGCCACAAGTGCCACCAAGACCTACCATCTGCATCTACAGCAAATCTGGACCCTTTCACATGAAAGTGTGTTTTATTTTTGTTTTACTTTTTCCTGGCAGGCAAAAAATATGAATAAGAAAGACAAACGTTTGAAGATCATGAATGAGATTCTCAATGGAATCAAGGTGAGAAGCCGAGGGTATAGCTGGCCCTTCTCTGTGTGCAATGACGGCAGGTCTTGGTCTTAACAAACCTGGTAGAGGCTGTGGACTCCTGCTTCTAGGCCTGTGGGGTGTCCTGTGACTTCAAAAGTCTGCAAGGCCAGAATCAATACATGCTGCCTCTCTTCACCCCTCCATTCAATCCATCTTTCAATATTTGATTCCCTACCGTGTGCCATGTGATACAGTAGTGAAATGAACGGTCTCCTGTTTCTTCTTCTAGTACCCCTCTCAGGGCCTCATTTGTGCCTTGATTTCTATTTATTGACCATAATTGGTTTGTTTTGTTTTACATTACCTTGCAAATTGTTGATTGTGCACAAAAGTAGACAAAATGATACAATCAATCCCCATGGGCATCAGCCAGCTCCAGCAATAATTGACATGATCTAACTAGCTTCATCTATAACCCCATTCTCCACTTCATGCTCTGCTGAATTATTTTAAAACAAATCTCAGATTATCTTGTTGTTTCATTAGTAAATACTTTCTATATATTTCTAAAAGAAAGACTTGTTTTTTTAAAAAAAAATTGTATTTTTATTGATTTCAGAGAGGAAGGGAGAGGGAGAGAGAGATAGAAACATCAATGATGAGAGAGAATCATTGATCGGCTGCCTCCTTCATGCCCCCTACTGGGGATTGAGCCTGCAACCCAGGCATGTTCCCGGAACCAGAATCGAACCCGGGACCTTTCAGTCCACAGGCCAACACTCTATCCACTGAACCAAACTGGCTAGGGCAACTGTTGGTTAGTTTGAATAAGGATCCAAAGAATATCCACATAGGGCATTTAGTTGGTAGTGCTTTTAATCTACAACAGTAACCCCTGTCAGTCTATATTCATCCTTATTAACATCCTTGCACCTGGAGCACTGATTTGTGGCCCAGACAGCATGTTTTGATCCCTCAGTAAAATTTTAAAACTCACTGAGGCTTGGGCCCTACTTCAAACCATTTAAATTAGACCCTCTAGGGGTAAGCCCCAGGCATATATTATATTTCAAAAGCTCCCTAAGTGATTCTAATATGCAGCTAAGGTTGAAAAGCCATTGTCATTGCCTTGATCTATTATTTCATTCGGAGTTACAAAGGGGTGATATTTTAATTCTATTATTCCTTTGGCATTGGTTAGCTGAAATTCTATAAAAAGGAATTATCCTAAAATAAAATTTATATAGGATAGAAAGGATAAATGCTTTTTTTCTTTCCTCTATTTACCAACTTTCAAAATAATGCATTTCATCTTCCAAAGGTGACCAATGAGGTGTTTTTTAAATATATATGTTGTTTTGAATTCATGGATTTTACACCCAAAGTTCTTGAAAGTGCAATGGAGGCCCCTTCTAATGCCCTGATATGTCTCCACAAAGGGCTCTGATATGCCTTCCTGCTAATGTGGCAAAATGAACAGACCTGGTTTTGAGTTTTACCTCTATCACCAGCTAATTGGTGAGGTTGAGCAAGTTACTTAGCCTCTCTCAACTTCTTTCCTTAATGTAAAAAAATGAATAAAATAATTCTACAAAAGTAGGAGACTAACTCTTCCTAGTTTGCCCAGGACTTTCCAGGATTAGCACCAAAAGCCTTGTGTACTGGGCAGCTCTTAGTCCCGGGCAAACTGGGACAGTTGGTCATCCTTAGATTGTTACAAAGATTAAGTAAAATAATGTCTATAAAATGTTTGTACATAGTAGGTTGTCAACAAATATAAGCTATGTTTTTGTAATCAAACTTTATAATCTGGATTTCTGTCCCCTCCCCAAATTTTGGGGGCCATGTCCTAACACCTGGGGAGATGAGATACCAGTGTCCTTTGGGGCAACAGTGTGAGCTGTGTTCTTTTCTATCCTATTAGATCCTGAAATATTTTGCCTGGGAACCTTCATTCAAAAACCAAGTCAATGACATTCGGAAGAAAGAGCTCAAGAATCTGCTCACCTTTGGGCAGATGCAGTCTATGATAATGTTCCTCTTATACTTAACTCCAGTCCTGGTGAGTGACAGTCTGTGGGCAGGTCAGCTTCCTGAGGAAGAAAGTCTGTCCTAGGTAGACTTCCCAGAACCTCTAGGTCACACCAGGAAATTCAAACCCTGCCCCCACTGCTCAACTCCCTATACTACCTCATGCCCAGCTCTAGTTTCACCCTTGTGTATAGTTCGGTGGTCTGGAGGCCCAGAGCAAGTTGCCAGGGTGTCCAGGAATGGTTTGCAAAGGAGGGCCTCTTGTCTTCTCAGGGAGGCCATGTGGGTCAATAGAGGAAGAAACACCGATATAGGAGCCAAGTTCTAGTCCCAGCAAAGCCATTAATTGACTTTATGACTCGGGCAAGATATTTCCTCCCGTGCTCGCTTCGGCCGCACGTATACTAAAATTGGAACGATACAGAGAAGATTAGTATGGCCCCTGCGCAAGGATGGTATACAAATTCGTGAAGCATTCCTTTTTTTTTTTTTTTAAAGATATTTCCTCCTCTTCTGGGCACAGCTTTCTCATGTGTAACATGGGAGGGTTGAGATGATCCTGAAGATTCCTTCAACTCTGATCTACTGTGTTCCGGAGCCCTTTTAGGAATAAATTGTTCATGACCTTGCTTTTCCAGGTATCTGTCGTCACATTTTCAGTTTATGTCCTGGTGGACAGCAATAATATTTTGGATGCAAAAAAGGCCTTCACCTCCATCACCCTCTTCAATATCCTACGCTTCCCCCTGGGTATGTTTCCCATGATGATCTCCTCGCTGCTCCAGGTAGGAACTTTCACTGCTAACTGATGGCCTCTGAGTAAAAGCCTTAGAGTCTAGAATGAGCAGTCTATCATATCTCATTTCCAGCTTCTGCTGGTAAACTTTCAACCAGACAGATTTGTTTGATCTCTGAAGAAGGATGGTTTGATCTTAGTAGAATCACAAGCTCTCTGAGCCCATTTATCTGACTATAAAGTGAGGATTCTCATCTGCCTCACAGGGAGGCGGTGCAGTGATTAACCCTGTGTACCTGGAACATTCCTAAGCCCCTTTCCCAACTTAGTTTCCACACATTTCCCCAAGGCTCCTGAGGTATTTATATAGCATTAGAAAACTATGGAACGAAGGAAGAAAAAGACCCTCTCTCTGTATGAGCCATCTAACGGTAAGACCAGAGGCAATTTGGGAGCCTTAGCCGCCAGAAAATGAGTTTGGGGTTCAGGAGGGAGCCTCTGGGTCCTGAAAACTGAGCCTGGTCACTGGAATGGACCAGACCTCAGAGGGAAGACCACAGGGCAGGCGGGGCAGCCAGGCTGACAGAGTGTGGTGATCTGTGTTCCTCTCAGAGGTGGCTGACTTCAGACAGCTCAGGCCAGAAAAGGCTAGGGTTTAGGAGAAGGCCTCCCTGTCCTAGATGGCATTAGGAAAAGCTGGCAGGTATGGCCGATAAAGAAACAACATGCTCTTCTTGGACTGAGTTTATTACATAGATAGCGAGAGCAAAAGTGCCAGCTCCCTACGTTCCCTGTCCCACAAGATGGCACTGAGACAAAAGGGGCCAGAGGACAATGCACTTGGGGCGGGGGGAAGGGGGGTGTTCTGTTTCTGAGGAGCTGGTCCCTGCAGCCGTCAAGCAGTTTTATAGTCTGTGGTGGCACCCTAAGGAGAGGGCAAAGCAGAAAGCCTCACTTCATCAGAACCCAGGTGGTGATGAGAAACCATCTCCTGACAGTGCACCAATTTCATGCACTGGGCCTCTAGTTCATTAAGAAAAAGAGCAATTGCAGAAAGTGGGTTAGGTTTTAAAGGAACAATAAAATGTTTGAATATATTGGTTTCAGGCTTTTACCTAAATATCTGGAAATGTTCAATTCCTTGCAAAGCTCCCGGAAATCTTCCCAATGTCTCATGTTCCAGGGGGACCACTGGGTGTCCTGCCAACACACACATCAGTTGCAATTGAAGCTCAACCTACGTGGCCTGTGTCACAGTGCGCCCTGGCCAGTTCCCCGACAGAGTCCCAGTAGTGGCTCCATTAGGCCACTGAACGGGTCCTTGAGGCACGGACTCAGTTAAAGGAGAGCACGCCAGGGGCCTAGTTGCCAGGACCAGAGAGAAGTTAGCGTTTTATCTTAGAGAAAGGCGAGACAGTTTCTGGAACCAGGTACAAGTTGGAGAGAGAGCAGTAGAGTTGCCTCCCTCTCCCTGCCCCCCTCCCCTCCGTTTTCTGAAGGATTGAAATAGAGCATCTTAATTTATCTCTGTCCAGGAGGACGGACTGGCTCCCAGGGTTGAGGTGAGGCCGCGTCTGTAGGGCGGGTCAGGAGGTTCCAGGGGCAAGTGGCAAATTATGGGCAAGAAGCCTGGCAGACTGACTGTCTCCTTCCTCAGCCAGGGCTAACGACAGTCACAATCCTCTCCCTGCTTGTGCTTGTCATTGGGTGTTTTACTCTTGAGATGCGTTGTGTTCCAGGCCAGTGTTTCCTTGGAACGGCTGGAGAAGTACTTGGGAGGGGATGACTTGGACACATCGGCCATTCGACATGACTCTCATTTTGGTAAGTGAACTTGGAAGTTGTTTCCCAAACTTATTCACAGTGCTGGCACCAGAACTCTGAAATACAGGGGCTCAGCAGTAGCAAATGGATTGAAAGGGAGAGTGAGGGGACTTCTCTTGGACCTACATTTGCATATAAGTGTACTGTTTTTACTTAATTGTGTTTTCTCTTAGAACAGCTTGCTTGGCCAGATTGCTAAACAAATTTAAGCCAGCTGTTCTGGGAATCCTGAAAAAGGGAATCCTGCAAAGGATCTAGAGGGCAGAAGTCAGCGCGGAGCTGAGTCTGGGGAGGGGTAAGGTAGGCTGGAGCGAAGGAAAATGCAGGTTTAATGGTGGGAGGGCATTCCTAGCCAGAGCGAGCAGTTGGAGTGGAATCCAGGGTAGGGAGTAGCTGGATATGTATATATTGTAGGTGGAATTTGTACCAGGAGACTAGGTGACAGGGCCTGGAAATGTACCCAGAGAGTCTGTAGGTTTGAAATCCAGGCTCAAAACAGGCCTGGGACTCCTGAATCAGAAAGGACTTGGTATACAGGCAACTTCTGGTCTACCCCAGGACCTTTCGCTAGCATAGGAGCCCGCACAGGACAGAGATCTGGGGATCTGCTGGAGGAAGCGGAGAGGGACACGTGAGGGCTGAAAGGCAGACAGGCAGGTGGGGACCTACATCTGACTATAAGCAGGGCCTTCTTCTCAACAGACAAAGTCGTGCAGTTTTCTGAGGCCTCCTTTACCTGGGACCAGGAGACGGAAGCCACAATTCGAGAGTGAGTTGCCTCCTTTCCATCCTGCTGTTCTTTACGATTCTCCTTACCTGTCCTGTGACTGAAAAATTCCATATAACAGGACACATGGGACGTCGAGCTGTGTGCACATGTTCAGTCAGATAGCAGTGCAGGCTCAGCCGCTGCACGGATGAGCTGACCTCAAAGATCCCGGGCCTCTTCGCTCTTGAATGCGCCTGCCCACCTGCTCTCCTGCTGTGGGACCACACACGTCTAGCTGAGAACCCTGAAGGCATTTGTTCTGCAGATTGTGGCTGGAGGCGGGCAGGTGCCCTGGGTCTCTGGGTATGGTAGAGGATATACACAAGAACATGAACGCAATTTAAGTTCATTCATTCACTTAAGAATGTAATTAAGAACACTGGCATTCCTTCCCCAGAGTGGACAATGGGAGCTTTTTCTATAAGATTCCATTTCAGGTCTGGAGTTTTTACATCTAAATGACCCATCCCTGCATTCCACGCTGCAGCCGCCCGCCTTCTCTGCCCTGAGCCAACCCCTTCTGGCCACAGCGTTGCATGTAATGTATTTCCTAAGCATGACGGGTAACAGATCACCCAGCCATCCACCAGCTCAGCACACACGACACACCGGGAGCCTGAGCGGCCGTCCTTTTTTTCTTCACAACCGGGCACCCCTTCTCATCTCCCTGCTACTGTTAGGCCTTTCCACCCTTCTTTGCTATTTCCACAGCCTTGAGCATGGACTCTGGAGCTTGCCCCAGGATGTGTCAGGCCAGAAACTCCTCCCCTGAACCCTCCCAGCCTGAAAGCCTCTCTTTGCGGAGAGAAGACTGGACACAGCTCCCCCTTTGCTAATATAAGCCTAGAACAAGTTCAGCTCAATGGGCAGCTTCGGAAAGACTATGAACAAGTTTCTGAGGTTCTAATATTCCAGGAACTCAAACCATAGGGCCGACACACAGAGTTTCTAGGCGTCCAGCCCAGTGTGGATGTCTCCCCAGCCAGACACAGCCATGTCTCAGGGGAGCGGGCAGCAGTCTGTGCTCTCAGCAGGTGTCCCATTGGATGGCTCGTCTCACTGAAGAGCGAAGTTTGGGAAACAATAACCTAGTCCAACACCACTAGTTTAGAAATGAGAGTTCAGAGGACGTGACATTTCAAGATCACACAGCTGGGCAGAGACAAAGTAGGGACTTGAACTCAGGCCTCCCGGCTCCCACTGGGGTCTTGTTCAATGGTACCATGTTGGTTCTAAGAGAATTTTTCCAATGGAAACCCAAGGTTGGCACAAACAGCTCATAGACAAGTTGAATACATTAGGATTCACGCGCTAGGGCTCTTAGAGCTTAAAAATAAATAGTTAAAGAAGCACTATGGAGCCTTGTATACCAAAGGCTAATTTTCCAGTCTTGAGAGAAAATCCCCAAATACCAGACTTCCCATAGAGAGTCTGAGAAGTGGCCTGAACTCCTCTTGAATAAGTCCCCTCATCTCCTTCAAATAAACTTCTCTCTTTCAGTGTGAACCTGGACATCATGCCGGGCCAGTTGGTGGCTGTGGTGGGCACTGTGGGCTCTGGGAAATCCTCCTTGATGTCAGCTATGCTGGGAGAAATGGAAAATGTCCATGGGCACATCAACATCAAGGTGAGCGGGAATGCCAAGGGGAAGACTGACTCAAAGGTGGGCCACTACGTGCTGGACGGGCGCACTGAGGACTAGAATCTGACCACCACTGCTGCCAGGTTGCTGTATAGGTAAAAGGTCTGGGAGACACATGGTCCACTTGTAAACTGTAGATTCTCTGCCTCGCCTTACATACATAATCAGACTCAAGGTGGATTCCAAGAATCTGCTTCTTTCTTTAAAAAAAATCCTCACCTAAGGATATTTTCCATTGATTTACAGAGAGAGTGAAAGAGAGAGGGAAAGACAGAGAGAAATATCGATGTGAGAGAAACACATCGATTGGTTGCCTCCTGCATGCGCCCAGACCGGGGAGGAGCCTGCAACCAAGGTACGTGCCCTTGACCAGAATCAAACCCTGGACCCTTAGGTCCACAGGCCAATGCTCTATCCACTGAGCCAAACCGACTAGGGCTAAGAATCTGCATTTTTAATGAGCTACCCAGGTGATTCTCATACGCATACTAAAGTTTGAAAAATGTTGAATAGAGATCTTTCCCTTCAGAGTATAGGCAGTTCTGCTATATCTATATGTGTTTCTGAAAACTTCAAGTTCCACAAAATTGTACAATAATAATAACAAGACTTAGGGGAAAGAGCAGTAACAGATTATTAAACTTGTATAACTTTAAGATAATAAACAATGGCAATAAAAGCAGTAGCACTGCAAAGTCTCTGCTGGCAAATGTTCCCAGCATCACAATTAGTTTAGGGCCTCCCTTTCCTCCTTTGGGGGCACTTGTTTCCAATACAAAAATTTGATGTAAGATATGGGCATATTTATCAATTATGTTTGTTTTGTAAACCTCACCTGAGGATATTTTTCATTGATTTGAGAGAGAGAAGAAGGGAGAGAGAGAGAGAGACAAAGAGAGAGAGAGAGAGATTTCTTGGCTGCCTCCCTTATGCATCCCAACTGGGGATCGAACACAGCCTTTTTGGTGTATGGGACAACACTCAACCAACTGAGCTACCTGGCCAGGCAATTATGATGTTTTTAACAGAGAGAAAATGTTTTCATGGCATCCTCATCAGCACTCTCAGCTTCCCCAGAGAGCTACATTTAGGGGAAACTATAGGTACTTTGAGGCATTTAACCAGCTGTTACTTGCACCAAAAAGAGTCATGTCTATAGATCTTTAGCTGTTTTCCTTAAGATCTTTATATATTGCTAAGCCTTCTTTTTAATTATGAGAAAGCTCACTCCTGATTGCTTTACATTGACATGTTTGGACCTTTTTAAGAACATCTACTTTATACTGACATTATTCCCTGATTTACCAATAACTAATGAGCTAATTTGCATTAATCCACATGCAGTGTAGCAGAGCACACTCTACAGACTTTTCTCAATTACAGTTTACATTCAGTATTATTTTGTATTAGTTTTAGATGTACAGCACAGGGCTTAGACAATCATATATTTCATAAATAGGTCCTTCCTTATTTCAACCACCCACCTGGCACTGTAGATGGTTATTACAATACTAGGGGCCCAATGCACGAATTTGTGCACCTTGAAAGGAACTGGGGCCATGAGGCTGCGGAGGGCACGGGCATGGGTCTTGACCCATCCTTCACATCCCGGCCCGGCCCTCCTGCCGTGGCCCCCCAGTCCCCTGCCTGCCAACAGCCCCGCTCCTGCCGCCGCCGCTTCCATGCCCTGACACTCGCACCTGCTGACAGCGCAGAGTGATTGGGGCTGGTGCCAGCAGCGGGTGTGAGCGGGACCAGTGCCCTCAGCAGGTGCGAGTGGTGGCTGCTGCCCCGATCACCCCTCAGGAGCAGGGGGAGGTAGAAAAGCGCTCAGGGGCGATCAGGCCCGGCAGCCACCACTTGCACCTGCCGACAGCATTGAGCGATTGGGGCTGGTGCTGGGCACTGGCAGTGGGTGCAAATGCCCGGTGGGACCACAGCATGTAGGAGCAAAGAATTTTCAGTAATCACCAGAGGTGCGCCCTGATGACAGTGACCAGCGCCCCGCCTTGGGCTGGCGCCCCCACTCACCTGCTCCACCATCCCGCCATGGCTGATGCCCGCCATGTTCTGTGCGCGCCCCCTGGTGGTCAATGCATGTCACACTGACCAGTTGTTTGGTCGCTCGTTCGGTCTATTTGCACATTAGGGTTTTATATATATAGATTATTGACTATATTCTCTATGCTGTACTTTACACCCCTGTGACTATTTTGTGTCTACCAATTTGTAGTTCTTAATCTCTTCACCTTTTCACCCAGCTCCTCCCTCCCTTTTGGCAACTATTAGTCTGATCTCTGCATCTGTGCAGCATCTACCGATTTAATTCTGTTTCTTAACTCCTTTTAGGAAGTGTTTTCTTGCTACCTCATAACTGAGTTTTTCCTCCAACACAGGCTTTTGTCAAGCTCATCTTTCTTTGCACATGATCTGCTTCATGCATCAGCCTGCACCCTAATTCCAATCTCTTAGTCCTTGCTTCCTCAGCTGTCATCTATACCAGGGCCCTGGCAGTGTTAGCCCTCGGTTGCTCCTAGTAAACTCACTGGGGTCTGATTAGAACCCTGTTCTAGAGCCGGCACATGCATTCATCCTCCCATTTTCAGGATCAAGGCTAGAAAGTGAGAGTCTAACAAAGAGGACTTTACATGACAAGTAAGACTTCGAATTCCTTCTCCATGGTTTGTGCAAAACTTCAAATACATTTATAAATATCAGATGTTCAGTCAATTTGACATACATTTCTTCAAGTCTAAGTTCCATTTGTTCCTTCCGGCTCCTGCCACCCCGTCCTTCAACCCTGCATTTCTGGAGGTACAACTGTCTTGTGGTCTCATATCTCCCATCTAGGGCACGATAGCCTACGTCCCACAGCAGTCCTGGATCCAGAATGGCACCATAAAGGACAACATCCTTTTTGGATCAGAATTCGATGAAAAGAGATACCAGCAAGTTCTAGAGGCCTGTGCCCTCCTCCAAGACTTGAAAGTGCTGCCCGGGGGAGACCTGGCTGAGATTGGAGAGAAGGTACTTAGAACCTTAAAGGGTGAAGAAACATCAAAGAAAAAATGTGAGGATGGCAAAGAAGTACATAGGAGTAAAATAGCTGACCAATTTCGGTGGTCATGTTGGGAATAAACACCAGGAAACATGAGTTTGTACAATATTTTATACAAATATAGTAATCCAGAAATTTTAAATTTGGTACCTGGAAGCAAATACAGGGATTATGTACTCTGAAGGGAAGAGGAGGGTAGGACCGGAGAGGTTAAGTAACCAGTGACTGGCCCCAGGTTGATGTCATGGCGGAGGGACAGAGCCTACGTGTCCTGCCTCTACTTCTGTATATCAGCAAGGCTCAGAGAAGGGTTTTAGTCAACT